TAAAAAATAAAATGGAAAAAAGTGGCTATTTAAATACTAGCCCTATTTTATTTCAATTTTAGCCCAAATCAACCCCCCTATTAAAACCCAATTTCAATTTCAAATGTCCCGGCCCTATTCCTAAATTACCCGCCCGGCTACCCCTTTTGATCCAGGCCGTTGATCATTTTGATCAACGGCCACAATTACCCCTTTCCTTTTTTAATTCACAAACACCGCCAACCCTAAATCATTTTCATTCAACCGTCGCCTATGAAACCCCTCTTCTCTCTCAAACTCTCTCGAACCTTCCTAACCCTAGCCACATCTCATCATCTTCCACCTCGAAACCCTAGCTATGGGACTCTTATACTCACCTCCATTTGCTCTTACACACCGGATACCTGAAGATTTGAGGCCTGACCTCGAAGGTTTTCACTCAGACCTCTGCCGATTCAAGGTTTCAAAGTCATCGCCGGCCTTGCTCCGGCGTACCATGGTGTTTTGAGCCTGGTTCTGACTTCTCCGACTCAGATCGGTGACCTTTTCAAAGCCTTTCTCATTCTAGGGTTCTTCTAAAACCCTAACCCTTTGTGGTTTTTCTCCGATATTTTTAGATTTGTTGTGTATCTATGCTCTACTTGAGTTTTTAAACGATTTTCCCAACTTTTCTTTCAAAAAATTACTTTCCAGGGTCTTTTTTTTTATGATCTAAGGTATCTAAAAATGCTTAAGTGTTTATCTGATCCTCATCTCCTTTCCTTTTGTGTGTATTTGACTCTACTGTGTTCTTACGTTTTCCTTCTACCACGTATGTTCCTCTACTGTGCTTTCTATATTCCGTTCTTCTAATGTGTTCTTGTGTTTTTCCTTTTACCATGCTCCTGTATATGTTTATCTTACTGTGTTTTCCTATATGTGCTTTTCTGCTATAATTTTCTGGTACTCTTGTGTTCTTCTACTGTATTTTCCTACTAAGTTCTTAAAGTTTCCTTGTTTTCCTTCTACTGAGCCCTGTTTAAGTTTCTTCTAGAAAACTCCTTAAGCATGTTTCTTCTACTGTTCCTACCAGTGTTTTCCATTATGTTCTTTGAATCTCTCTACTTTGTTTTTCTACCGTGTTCTTAAGTGTTCTTACCATTTTTCTTCTACTGAACCTTGTTTGAGTTCTTCTAAAAAGAGCCTCTTAAGCATGTTTCCTCTACTGTTCTTATCAGTATTTTCCATTCTGTCCTCTGAATCCTGCTACTGTTTGCATGTTATTTTGCTATCATGTTTTCTCATGAGTTCTGTTGCTGAAGAAGCATGATCTTTTCTGAAAATTCTAAATATGATTTCGATTTTATTGCCTGCTCTCTCGTCTTTGCTTTATGGTTTTCCCGAACTAGGGTTTTATTTTAGAACCCTAAACTCTTTCAGACTGACTTGGAGTCTCTGAACGGAGTTTGGACTCTTTGTTTTCATACAAGCTGAACTTTTTGCAAACTCTCCTACACTGGAGTTTCTACTGACTTTATAATGGCATGACAAGTTTCTTTCATGCTTAACGTGTCTGTATGCTTTTAATATGCGATGAGTCTTCCTTCAAAAAAGTTTTCAAACTTGTGATTGATTCAGAATTCCTTTTAAATAAGTCTAATTGATTGTTTGCTGATTTTCCTTAAGTAAAACCTTTCTTCACCTTTTCTGACTTGGTTCATTCATACCAAATCTCAGACCTTGTGATTTACTGGCTGTTAATTGATTCCCTTACCTTATTTGCACAAACCGTGTATTTCAAAAAACCTGTCCTTAAATAACCTTTATGTTTTTGCCCTCAATTGCATGTTTTGCGCAAAGTGTTTATTCAATTCCTTTCCTTAAATAGTTATACCCGTTTTAATCTGAATCCCTTAATTAAGGGAAGCCTTGTGTAATTGATTGACAATCAGTTCTTTAATTATTTCTTACCTTATTTCTGCATGCCTTCTACACTATTACAGGCACGACCCTTTTCACAAACACACACTTCAGACTTCACAATCTCTTCTAAACTCACACTTATAGTATCCTATCTCCCTGTTTGCACTTTGGCTTTTACAAGACTACTGCTTCTTCTACTTGTTTCTTTGAAACTGGTATGTCCTAATTTAAGTTCCATCATTACTCCAATGTGTTTACTTACAGTCTTTGTATCCATGTCTACTTTATTATTTTCTATAAGAGTTTGACCTTTAGCTTAGTATGCCTATGTTCTACTGCTTGCTTCTTTTGTGAATCTTTTGCTCCCTATCCCAGTACCCCCATGTGATTGTGAGTAGTGACTTAGGGCATGGCAATATGATTTGTTGTCCATGAACTGAGTTTTGATCCAATGGGTCTTAACCTCTAAACAGGCTGGAGGGTGTGCCAGCATATCCCATTGCAGGGTATGCCCAACAGCCTGCTCTTCTTGTGTTCTTGCAAATTCCCCACTCCCCTATACCCCTATGTGAACTGATTTTAAGTTATTCTCTTTTCCCTTTCCCCTTTCAGAATTCCCCTTCTGCACTTGCACTCTCTCCTAGTCTCTAAGTTCTGTCCCCCTCCCGTGAGCCTTTCCTTGGGACCTTGAGTTCCCTCTGAACTTGGACACTTGAGGGCTGGCCCTTCCACACTGCACTATGACTTAATCCTGCAATGCATTTGGGTGTGAGCACTGCCCGGAGTCCATATGAGGCTCTTAGGGAACTCTAACACATCCAAAATGAGAGAAAGGCTTTGGATCATGATCTCTTGGAGTTGGTTCATCTCATATTTCAGACATGGAGCCTGAATTAGGCTCCCCTTGGTTGTACTTTTAATTTCTGATGTATTTTTCCTTTCTTACATTATTTCTGGGCTGTAATAACTTGTAATAAACTATTGGGGCTGGCTAGTGAAAAGGGAGAGGATAACTGTATGCAAAGGGTAGATATCATGCCTATAGGTTTATGAATTCTGCATTCATATAGAGATCATGCTTATAGGTTTACATATTTTTGCACTCTCATCTGTAGATATCCTGACTTACTTTTTTCTGAAATTCTGCATTCATATAGACATCATGCCTATAGGAATTCTGCACTTTCATATGTAGATACTATGCCTATAGGAATTCTGCACTTTCATATGTAGATACCATGCCTATAAGGAATTCTGCACTCTCATATGATATCATGTCTGTAATTACTCGAAATATGAATCTTGCATATGCATTTTGAAAACATGTCTATAGGCCATTCTGAATCTTGCATGTGCATCTGTCACTAGGCAAATGTGTTTATAGGCCTTAAATAATCAATTGCATTTAGATGTCATGCCTATAGGATTTCTGCATCTTTACTATATCTGCATAAGATGCTAAAATCAACAACGCATAGAAAGCATGCCCATAGGAATTAATAACCAAGTCTGAAACGTTTCGTCTGCCTATAAGTAATAACAATGTCTAACATTTGCAGGACTTATAACTCGCTTGTCTTTAACAAACTGGTAACTTTTTATCTAAATTAATATGTAATCAGTTTATCTCTTTAATCAGTAGATATCATGTCTATAGGCTTTCGTCTAACACTTAGGCAAGCCTTAGGGTAAAAGTTATAAATGCATCAGTCTTTATTAATTACAACCAGCGGGCAGGTCTAATTCCGACTTCTTATCTGAAAATAAGTGATAAATCAGCCTCCTTTAACTTTAAGTTTTAATCAGATCCTAATCAGTACGTGCAAGACATGCTAAACTATGTGCTTTTCTTTGATTTAAGTAGGTCTTCTTGAGCCTTATTTGTTATGTGCCTTCCCCAAACTTGATATATATATATGTTTTGATTGTCGCCTTAGAATTTTTACCTTTGAAACCATAAAAGCCCAACATCCCTTCTCCTTTAGAATTAGTAGTCCCAGATGCCTCCGGGACTGATAGGATTGGGGTGGGTAATAGCATGCAATAAGCAAACGAGACCATACTTTAATACCTCAACGGGGTGGGAAAGAGTAGATATGGATATGATGACCACGCGATAATATCACGTGTAACCCCTTGTCGAAGAGCGATTACCGGGAATTGTGTGGGGTGATCCATATTATTTTTAAACCTAGGACCCTCTTCCCTTTACTTATTATTTCATTGTTTACTTTCAAGTTTCAAACTATTTTCTCAAAATTCAGCTTTTTTCGTTTCTTTTAACTTCATCTATTTGCAACCATTATGTGAAAACCCCCTCATATTTGAAACTCTTACTTGCCTACTTGTTATTTGCACTTAAAGTCACAACCATAGCCTGACCGGGAACCACACTAGTGGATCCTGAAGGGTACCTAACACCTTCCCCTCGGAATAATTTTAAGCTCTTACCCAATCTCTGGTTTTCTAAATCAAACTCTTCTTATTGTCCTAATGCACTTTAATCATTAGGTGACGACTCTTCAATTCAAACCCAATTCCCAAAAGGGAACGAGTTGTCCTCCCAAATGTTATGAACCCGATTTCGCGAGAAAAAGGGAGCGCGACAAGGGGTTCGGTATTTTATGATTAGGGGGAAGGGGGAGGATTTTAGAGTTGTTTTTGTTAAGGGGGAGAGAAAAAAGTGGGGGAGTGGGCGGATTGGGTGGGACTTAATTAAAAAGGGAAGAAGAGAAAAGAAAAGAAAATTTAAAAAATTGAACCTGAACGGCGCCCGATCCACGGCCGGATCCGCAGCCGCTGACAGAACTTCTGCAAAATCCGCGGTCAGATCCGTGGCCGCGGATTAGGCATCCAGAATTTTTTTTTTGCTTTTTCGCACTTTTGCCTATCTCCGGGATAATCTCGTCACCCCGAGTCTTTCCGCTACGCATACCTTCGTTCCTTCACCTTAGTAGATCGATCAATATTGTCACCGTTCAAAATTCAATTACAAAAATAAGAATAAAGAAAAAATAATGGGTTGCCTCCCAAAAAGCGACTAATTTAACGTTGCGGCAGGACGATTCCTCCTAGGAAGCGCCTGATTTAACGTCGCAGCACAACGCATGCTTTCATTATTACTCTTCGCTAATATATTGGGGCTCTTCCAAAGATATCACCACTATATCCCCCTTTTCTACGACCATTCCAAGGTAATGTTTCAACCTTTGCCCATTCACTGTGAACTTATTTGTTCCATCTTCGGATTCAATTTCTACAGCTCCACTTGAGAACACTTGCACCACTCTGAAGGGTCCTGACCACCGGGACTTCAATTTACCCGGAAACAATATTAGTCTCGGGTTGTATAACAACACTAGATCTCCGGGTTTGATGTTCCGATCTAGAATATGCCTATCATGCATCATTTTCATACTTTCTTTGTACAATCTTGCATTCTCAAATGCATGGAACCTGAATTCCTCGAGTTCATGTAACCCAGTGACTCTACCGGTGCCTGCGGTCTCCATATCCAAATTCAACTGCCGCAATGCCCAAAGGTCATTATGCTCGAGCTCTCCCGGAAGGTGACATACTTTTCCAAACACCAACTTGTATGGTGACATACCAATTGGAGTTTTAAATAATGTGCGGTACGCCCATAATGCATCATCCAGCTTCTTCGCCCAATCAGTCTTTGTCGTATTCAATGTCTTGGTTAGGACACTTTTGATTTCCCGGTTTGACACTTTAACTTGCCCACTTGACTGTGGGTGATAAGGGGTGGTCACCTTATGACGAGCTCCATACTTTTCCAACAACCGTGCGAACGCTTTATTGCAAAAATGGGTTCCACCATCACTGACCATAGCTCCCGGGCTGCCAAAACGTGTGAAGATGTTTTTCTTTAGAAAGCCTGTCACCCCCTTTGCATCATTGGTTGGGAGCCACAGCTTCAACCCATTTGGAGACATAGTCAACTGCCACCAATATGTATTTGTTACCATACGAGCTGACGAATGGCCCTATAAAGTCAATCACCCACATGTCGAATACATTCACCTCTTGAATAGTAGTCATCGACATCTCGTGATATCGAGATATGTTACATGTCCTTTGGCACTCATCGCAACTTTTCACCCAAGCATGGGCATCCTTGAACAGAGTTGTCCAATACAAACCCGATTCCAACACCTTAGCTGCTGTCTGAATCCCTCCAAAATGTCCACCATATGGTATAGCATGGCAAGCTTGCAAAACAGAAGGTTGATCTTTCTCGGGGATACACCTCTAGATCATGTTATCTAGACATATTTTAAAAAGTATAGGTTCATCCCAATAATAAAACCGGCAATCGCGAAAGAACCTTTTCTTTTGAATTGAAGAGAGTTCATAAGGTACAATACCGCTTGCTAAATAATTAGCAATATCATCATACCATGGTGTCTCCTCCATTGTCACTGCTAGTAACTGTTCATCCGGGAATGTCTCTGTTATATCTTCAACCTTTACCTTCTTTTCAGCTCCTTCCAACCTTGAGAGGTGGTCTGCTACCTGGTTCTCTCTATCCCTTTTCTATAACGGATCTCCGGATCGAATTCTTTTAGCAAAAGAACCCAGCGGATCAAGCGTGGCTTTGACTCCTTCTTTGCTATCAAGTACCTAATTGTTTCATGGTCAGTATAAAAAATAACTTTTGAACCAATCAAGTACGACCTGAATTTGTCGAATGCAATAACTACAGCTAACATCTCCTTTTCCGTCACGGTGTAATTGAGATGTGCACCGCTTAGCGTTCTGCTTGCATAAAAAATTGGGTGCATGAGCTTATCCTTTTGCTGCCCCAAGACTGCTCATATAGCATAGTCACTTGCGTCGCACGTGAGCTTGAACGGTTGCTCCCAGTTGGGTGCAACAATGATGGGTGCAGTCACTAATCTCTTCTTTAGCTCCTCAAATGCTAACCTACAATCATTAGAAAACACAAAGGGCTGATCCTTTTCAAGGAGTTTACATAAAGGGTTAGCAATCTTAGAGAAATCTTTTATGAATCGCCTGTAGAACCCGGCGTGCCCAAGGAAACTTCTCACTACCTTGACCGAAGTGGGCGGTGGAAGCTTCTCAATAACGTCAACCTTAGCATGGTCAACCTCGATTCCCTTTCTGGACACTCGATGCCCCAAGACTATCCCTTATTGTACCATAAAATGGCACTTCTCCCAATTCAACACTAAATTTGTCTCCACACATCTTCTGAGCACTCTTCATAAATTGTGAAGACAGTCCTCGAATGAATCCCCCACCACGGAGAAATTATCCATAAATACCTCCATAATGTCTTCAACCATGTCCGTGAAAATGGCTAACATACACCACTGGAATGTAGCTGGTGCATTGCAAAGTCCAAAAGGCATTCTCCGAAAGGCAAAGATGCCATACGGACAGGTGAATGATGTTTTCTCTCTGTCTTTGGGGGCTATTGAGATCTGATTGTACCTCGAATATCCATCCAAGAAATAGAAGTCAGATTTCCCAGCCAACCTGTCCAGCACTTGGTCAATGAATGGCAAGGGAAAATGGTCCTTCCAGGTAGCTGTATTCAATTTCCGATAATCCATGCAAATCTGCCATCTCGTGACAGTACAAGTCGAGATCAACTCGTTATTCTCATTTTGTACGACCGACATTCCTTCCTTCTTCGGCCCACAGTGAACAGGGCTGACCCAATTGCTATCAAAGATGGGGAAGATGATACCTACATCTAACCATTTGATCACGTCCTTCTTCACCACCTCTTTCATATTCGGGTTCAGCCTTCGCTGATGTTCTCTGGAAGGTTTGTGCCCTTCTTCCAAGAGAATCTTGTGCATACAAAAAGCTGGGTTGATACCTTTTATGTATGCCATGGTCCAACCGATAGCAGTCTTACATTCTTGTAACACCTATAAGAGTTTCTCTACCTGCACAGCTAGCAAACCGGATGATATAATAAAAGGTAAAGTAGAATTAGGCCCTAAGAAAGTGTACCTGAGATGCAATGGAAGCGGTTTCAGGTCCAATTGTGGTGGGTCCTCTATCGATGGTTTCACAGGTGTTATTGTTCTTTCTTCTAAGTGTAGGGGCTCGAACTCGGGTTCCCTTTTCCAGAACCCTTGACCTTCAAGAGCCATTACCCACTCTGCCAACTCCTCACAATCCACATTTTCAAGATTCATCAGGCAGGCTTCCAATGGATCCCTGACATTAATAGTCTCAACCTCCTCCTTGTAGTATTACATCTACGGCCTCCACTAGTGAGCAATTTGCAAATTCGCTGGGTCTCCTCATAGATTGTTGAACATTGAATATTATCTCTTCATTGTTCAACCGCATTTTGAATTCTCCAGTCTCATAATCAATCAATGCTCTCCCAATGGCTAAAAATGACCTGCCCAGAATGATTGGTATCTCTTCATCCACTTGACAGTCAAGAATGACGAAGTCTGTAGGGAATAAAAATTTCCCCACTTGAACAAGCACATCATCAAGAATTCATGTCGGTCTCTTGACTGTGCGATCATCCAGTTGCAGCAACATTGAGGTCGGTCTAGCTCTGCCAATGCCCAATTTTGCATAGATTGCCAAGGGCATCAAGTTTATACTGGCTCCTAAGTCACACAATGCTTTAGCAAACGCATAACTCTCAATGGTGCATGGGATAGTGAAACTACCTTGATCAGACACCTTTTGAGCCACAGGCCTTGTCACTACCACGATGCATGTCTGCGTCAGAGTTACAGTGGACAGGTCCTGGAAGTCAAATTTTCGTGACATCAGGTCCTTCATCATTTTTGCATACTCTGGCATTTCCCTGAAAGCACCCATCAGTGGAATATTCAATTGAATTTGTATGAGCATTTCCATGAATTTCCTATGTGATCATCTTTCTTTTGCTTTGCCAACCTCTGAGGGAATGGTGCAGGAATCAACCTCTGCCTACTACTTTGTGTCTTTTCTTTGCTGGAAGCTTTTTCTACTATATATTATATGAATTGTTCACCTTCCTTCTCCTTACCCTTGTCAACTTGTGCTTGCTCGATTACAACCTCGGTGAGCTCATCTGACTCATCTGTCTCTAATGTAACTGGAGTAGCTGGAGTAGTTGGCGTGGTCTCTCTCATAGATTGAGAAACTTCTTGCTCCCTGTATATATCTCTCTCATTCCTGAGACTCACTGCCATGAGCTGATTTAGGTTCTGCTCCTTTGGTTTAATGTTTGTATCTGCAGGCACTGTTCCTTGTGGGCGATTGTTCAAGGCCATAGATAGTTGTACCAATTGAGTTTCAATGCCTTTGATGGCTGAATCGTGTGCAACTAACTTCTCTTGCATCTTTCCATTTGTCCCAATGAGTTATTGCAGCATACCCCTAAGTTTAGATCATGTTACTGTCCTGCTGTTGATGGGGTGCTTGGTGGTCAACTGTTGCTGGTGCTGCTGATTATAGCCCTGCTGCCTTTGATAAGGCACGACTTGGCCTTGTGGTCGTGCTCCTGCTGGATTGGGGTTGTGCTGTAGCTGGTTTGGTCTGTACTGCTGGTTTGTTGTTGGTCCACATTGCTGCCCACCTTGCCTCTGACCTCCGAAATTATTAACATAATTCATGTCTTCTCTAAAACCCTGGTTTATCATTCTCTCCACTCTACGAGCATATATATGACTAACTTATGCAAGGAGTGCATAAACCTCCATTTGTGGTATCAACAATGTGCCTGTTTCGTACCCATCTCATCGATTTTCTTTGTCAGCAAGCTCATCTGGTTCATGAGAGTGGCTATGTTTTCTGCATTTGTGTTGTTTGGGTCAAGAGTGACAGAATGCACTATTAGAGTGAGTGTTGTGTCTCTCATCATCCAGCCTGAATTTTGAGATATCTTGTCAAAAAGAATCTTGCACTCTATAAATGTTTTGCTCAAGAATGCACCCCTGGCAGAAGCATCTACATTGGCCTTCAGACTGTCAGCCAAACACATATAGAATCTCTGTCCCAGCATCTGATCCAGAATGCCATGGTGAGGACACTTCACCAATATACCCTTAAACCTCTCCCAGGTTTCTTGCAAAGTCTCCGTTGGTTTCTGCCTGAATTGCAATATCTCATCAATCTGCCTCGCAGTTTTGTGGGGTGGATAAAACTTGTTTAAGAACTACTTGACTAGGTCCTCCCAAGTAGCAATGGAGTTTATTGAGAGCGAATTCAGCCAAGTTTGAGCCTCCCCATCACTGAGAATGGGAACAGTAATAATTTGATTGCCTCAGGAGTTCACATTCGATTGTCTTTGAGTGACACATATTGATAGAAAGTTCTTCAGATGTTGTTGTGGGTCTTCGATATATGACCCGGAGAACAGCCATTTATTCGGCAATAGGTGCAACATGTTGTTGGTAATCTGGAATGTCTCCGCTTGTATCTGAGGAACCGCAATTGTTGTGGTCAAGCTATAAGCAGTAGGTTGCGCCCAATCATAGAGAGCAGCTTCCGGCACAAGAGGTGCTACTACTCTAACGTTTGGGTCATCTTGATCATTCTTGTTGTCTACGTCACCCATTTCAATTTTAATTTGTTCGTTTTGTTTCAGCTATTTGTTCTTCCTATTAGCCCGGTTCAATGTCCGGAATGCTTTCTCGAAATTTTATAGTCCTTCAAAGAGTTCACCAATTCTCAGAGAGCTTCTAGGCATGCACCTGAGTCACAGAAGAGTTCAAATGTGAGAATTTCGATGGAAATATTTCTAACACTATAGAAAATTGATCTAAACTAATAATCCTAGCAATTCTTCCAAGTTGCAATAAATAACACCGTTAGTTCCCCGGCAACGGCGCAAAAATTTTATCACGCCCAACTATGCCTTATAAAAATGACTAAGCGGTTGCTACAAATATAATTTGGTTCAAGTCCGGAGTCGAATCCCACAGGGAACTAACCTATTTACTACAACTTTTAACACTGCTAATGAATAGCTCAAACAATTCCCGGATGCAAGACTTTTAATGGATAACGAGTAGAATTTAGTTAACTAAGAAAAAATAACAATAAAACTAGCAATAATCTAGAATAGAGTTGAATTCAATGGTAAAATGGTCTAGGGTTATTGATTTCCCCAATTGTCGGATTAATTCCTGACACGTTAGCTATAATCTCGCTGTAACACTATTAGAAATATGAGTCCTGGGTTGCCGCAATTATCTCTCGATCAATTATGATAATTTACTAGAAGCATTCTCTCGAACTACTCTAGTTAACAATTTATGCAACTTAGAGTTATACCACCAAAGCTTCGTTATCTCTAACCCTACTTTTAAATTCAAGTAATTAATCTCTTAACTTACCCGAAAGTGGTGTTGTTCAACAACAATTTCTTTCTCGAGCAACACAAGATAACTAGACACGATTAATCAAGAGCCCTTTCAATTAATCACAAGACAACACGTAGTTGAACAATCATAGAGTAAAAACGGCTCAATTATATCAAAATAGAGTCAAGACTTCATCCAACAATTGGTTCCATCAGCCCTAGATGACAGGTTTAGCTACTCATACTAAGAGATAAAATTCACTATATAAAGTCATAATTAACAATGGAATTAAAAAGAAGAAGATAAAAACTCTAAAGAAATTCTCTGTCTTTCTTTCGTGTTCTTGCCTTCCAAATCTCTTTAAAAACAGCTCTCTACTCTTTTGGATGAATTAGACTTCATATAGGTTTAGGTTAGTCGCGCTCCCGTCAGCGGCCGTTAAGGCACATCTGGTTTAATGAGGTAGTCCACGGTCAAAGGCAAGTTGAACTGTCCCTTTCCTTCATCTTCCAATTAGTGTGACCACCACCTTGCATTATAACTCTTTAAAAATTATATGAATTAAATTAAATAATGTTTGAATTGTATGTACAATGTGCAAATACCTAAAAGTCTTTATTGATAATTCAAAAAGATAACTTTATTTGAAATAATCATCAAGATAAAGATGCACACTCCATGTGAAATATTAATTTTCATTTAAAAAAAATTATAGTTATTGTAGTAACAGTCATCACTATATATAACTTAAATTTTCAAAATAATACGGAAAGAAACTTTAGGTAAAGAGTTTATGTTATGGGTTAATACAATAACTAGCTTTTTTTTTTTTTTTTTGTGTTACCGCAATTAGAAAAGAAAAAAACAACTTTCCAGCCAAAAAAAATTGTTTTCTTAGGTACAAAAATTACATACACTGGAATAATACCCTATTTAGCAAAATCTAGACACTTGTTTTTTTTTTTACCTCGAATTACAAAAATTGGGGGAGATTGTGCAAGACAGAGAGGTAAGAATGGTGAACTCCTCAAAAAGGAACGACGTCGCTGTAAGCAAAATAATCATCCGAATTGGCGATGGAGTCCTCCGGCCAACAATCGCGTAGCTGCTTCAACAGCAATTGCGCTTTTCTCTTTGCGCGTTCTGTACAATCGCTTTGGACTAACAACAGCAGTTGAGTCAAGACGCCGGCGGCAACCGCTTCCTTTTGAGCTTGTTCCGACGCCAAGCAGAGCGATAGCAGTGCACCGGCGGCGTACTCCGTTGCACGCTCCGATACCTTCAGGATGGTTTTCACCAGCAGAGGCACCGTTAGCGCGTGCGACGCTAACGCGGCGCATCCGGATGGAATCCTGGAGAGGAGTTCGATCGTGGCAAGCGCTCTTTCCGCATCGCATTTCTCGAAATCCTGTAGCCTGTCAATTAGCGCTTCCACCGCTCCGGCGGCCACTGCCTTTTGACGGTGTTGCTTCACTAGGCATAAAGCAAACAGCGCCTTGATTCCGACTTTCAACGCTCTCGGATAGGCTAATGGATAATTCAGAATTCCGACTACTCCTTCGAAGACGTCATCTATACTGCTGATTTGTGCACGGAGCTCCGATGATCTTATTCCGGCGACGACAACCTCAATTAAAGCAGCTGAGTTGACTCGGACATCGATAGAAGGATGAAAAAGCAGAGAAACCAGGTAACTAACTCGGTCCGGATCGGAAGCGACAAAAAAGCATTCACCTTCAGAGAGCGGGAACATAGAGAGAATCGCGAGAGACTCGTGATTCAACTCGGACGAGTCGGAATCCATGCGATAGAACACAATAGACAAAAGGATTTCACGTGCATTGTTCGCCGAAATTACGGATCGATTCTTATCCGAGTCACGAGCGAGTCCTCTGAGTCTCTTCAACGCCGAAAGCCTAGACTTCAAATGATTCGACTCAGCCGCTGCTTGATTCAGCAACGACCGGACCAAAACCGGATCAGCCGGTTGTTTCGGCGTCGGAATCCGCTCAACTCCGAAAGCCCGGTTCGCAACACACCAATCCTGTATAAGCCGGCGAAGAGTATGATTTGAAATAAGAGAGAAATCACTGAGCGGCGCCCTTGTTACAGGACATGTAGTATTGCCGGTGGCCACCCAGGACTCAATGCTTTGCCGGTCGTACGTTTGACCGGTACAAACGGTCACCGGATCCTGCATAAGCTCCAAGGAAATTGGACAACGAAAGTAGTATGGAATTTGAACGCCCACATCCAAAGGGTCTAAACTTCCAGGCATGTTTCCTTAACTCTATTTTCTTCTTTATCTGCTTTAAGGGATAGCAGTGAATTGAGTCTTTGGGTATCAGTAAATGTTTGGTTTATATATAGAGAAAAAAGCTAAAACTAAAAGAGAGTCTGCAAATTCTCTTTCACTTTTGTTTGGGAATTTGCTCGGTCTTTATACGGAGAGAAACAGAGGGACATACCCAACAGGCCGTAGGACTCTTCTCTCTGTTTTGCTCTGTTCTTATTCTGACCAAATGGTACCACACCCCCACCCCCTTAGTACCCTCAACCCCACACGTGTGGTTTTCATTTATTTACTACGCTGATCTGAACTTGTTCATTTAACCATGGTTATGTTGGTCTCTGGTCAAACCTAATTTGTGATAATTGGGGCCCACACTTCATGCTCAAATCTAACTTCTGTTTACGTCAAATGGCATTATTGATGAAATTTGAATGGTCCAATTAGGGGTGTTCATAAAAACCCGAAAAATCGAACCAATCCGAAAACCAAACCAAATCGACCAAAAAAACCGGTAGTTTTTGGTTTGGTTTGGTTTTGGTTTTGAATTTTAAAAACCGATCAAATTTGGTTTGGTTTTGGTTTTAATCAGAAAAAAACCGAAAAAAAACCGAACCAAACCGACTATAGGAGTAACTATTTTAAATTTATTATTACACCTATATATATGTATATTTTTATATAAAGTTTCAAAAATTTTATGGTAAATGTTAATAGTTTGCCACTTTTAGTAAAGTTCTTTACCTTTACATTCTAGTTTGATTGGTAGTTTTCTTTTGTTAATGTAAGAATCCATTTCGTGTTAAAAATAATAAATTTTTAATTGAGTCCTTAAATTATTTATCACTATTTGATTCAATTATCATCAATATATCTTGTTAAATAATAGATTTTTCAAAGGGCAATTGATTTGATAGTGTTACGTTGAAAATATGGTCGCCGGAGTATGTGTTTGGTAGTGTATGTCTTATATTTAAGAAAAAATCGACAAATAACTGAAAAACCGACAAAACCCGACATAAACCGAATCGAGAAAAAACCGACTTAATTGGTTTGGTTTGGTTCTAATATTTGAAAAACCGACTTACTTGGTTTGGTTTCTTTTTAGGGAAAAACCGATCCAAACCGAACCATGAACACCCCTAGGTCCAATTTAATTGAGCACAATACATGTTACGCGGCGCCTTCCTGAGATTCCTTGGAAGGGCGACGTAAGGCTATGCAACTGATGTCAGTGCAGTTGCTGTCCGCCAACTGAGGTCCCCTCCGTACGCTAGACGAGATTGTTAGTGCCGTACGGGAAAACCAATGTCAAGAGCAATTGAGAGAACAGAAATGAGAATTCAGAATGAAAGAAAGCTTGATTGCATTAATGAAAGCTATTACAGAAAAGCAACGCGGTGTCGAGGGGGAGAGACACCAGTACAGAGAATTGCTTGCTTGCTAGAAAGTTTTGATTGCTTGATCCCCCCTAATAGTACTTAAAAAAAATAATCCAAAGTTACAAGACTAGACTTGACTAAGCTAGAGAAACATAATGGAAGTACATTGAAATAAAACTACTCTATATTTACAATGAAAATGACTTAGTTTTCTATAAGGCAGCAGCAGGTCCGTTGTCAGCAGCAGTGTCTTTGGCATCACGGTCTGCGCGCGCGGCGCTGTTGGCTTCTGCCTGCGGCTTGGCGCTCGCGAGGGATATCGGTGGGGCGACAGAGGCACCTGCGCGCTTGTCACTTGGCGCGGCCAAGACCACGGGGTCGTCCGTGGCGCTAGGCATTGGGAGGTTTGCTAGGACGCCACGGGGCGCGCCCAAGGGGTCATGGGGCATGGCTGGAAAGCCGCCCATGACATTCTCCCCCACCTGAGTTGGAGACGTCCTCGGCGCCTTACTGTCAAAATAATCTTCAATGAGGCTCTTGTAGGCTTTGAGGTTTGTTCCCCTCTCCCAAGTATTCTCTTCTGCATCACAGCCCTGCCATTTCACCAAAAACTCTTGGTGATCTTTCCTTGAGGCATGAATCACTCTGTCATCAAGGATAGCTTCAACACGCCTTTTCCCGGTTGAATTGGGACCTCGAATACTGGGTATTGTGAGCTGGCTCCTTGAAGGATCCTCCGTGTCTTCCCGAAAAGGTTTCAGGAGACTGACATGGAAGACAGGATGAATTTTCCACCAAGCTGGGGTATCCACCCGGTATGCAACCTTCCCAATACGCTTTTCAATGGACAAGGGTCCAATGTATTTTTGCAATAGACGAGGGTCATGGACCCCTGCAAATAAGTACCGCTTTGGAATTTTGACCATCACTTTGTCTCCTACTTGATATTCAACAAAGCGACGATTCTGATCAGCATGCCTCTTCATCCGCTTTTGGGCTTTGACAAGATAGCTCCGCACTATCTCCAAATTCCGCCTTCACTCTTTTGAGAAGCTGGCAGCTCGAGGAGATTTAGCCATGTTTAATGCATTCACAGTGTGTGGGAGTAGCGGTTGCTGTCCGGTAACAATTTCAAAAGCGCTTTTGTTGGTACTAGAGCTCTTTTGTGAATTGAAACACAGTTGAGCAGCATCCAGAAGCTTCACCCAATTTTTCTGCGATCCGGTTACAAAGTGGCGGAGATATTCCTCCAACATACCATTGAACCGCTCCGTCTGGCCATCAGATTGCGGATGAAAACTTGAGCTGTGACTCAATTTTGACCCAAGGCACTTGAAGAGTTGGGTCCAAAAGTTGCTAGTGAAGCGTGAGTCGCGGTCACTAACAATGTCTTTGGGCAGGCCCCAATATTTGACGACATGAGAGAAGAAGAGTCGAGCTGTATCTTCTGCTGATATATATTGTGGGGCTGCAATAAAGGTGGCATACTTGGAAAACCGGTCCACCACAACCAAGATGGTTGTGAGATCTCCGACCTTGGGCAATCCGGTGATGAAATCCAGGGAAACGCTTTCCCAAGGTCTCTTTGGGACAGCGAGTGGTTCCAAGAGTCCCGCTTGTGTCAAGCGGTCCGACTTGTCCTTCTGGCATACTAGACAAGTCTTCACATACTGAGCGACATCATCGGCCATTTGAGGCCAATAATAGGCACGACGAAGTAACGCCATGGTGCGTTCTTCACCGGGATGGCCGGCCCACAGAGTATCATGACATTCCGCTAGAAGAGTCCTCCGCAAATCTCCTCCTTTAGGAACATAAAGTCGGTTCCCTTTTACTTTCAGAAAACCATCTTCCATGTAGAACTGGCGAGTCTTGCCCTGTCCTACCAAATCAACCAAATACTGAGCAGCAGGATCCTTGATGAGTAGATCCCGTATTTGGTCCTTGATGGATGTGGCTACTTCGCTCCCCCTTAGGGTGGCGAGTAGGCACACCGATGCTAGATCAGCTCTCCGACTGAGCGCATCAGCAACATGATTGGTCTTTCCACTGCGATACTCCAAGTTGAAGTGGAATTCAGCTAGGAGTTCCTGCCACCTGGCCTGTCGACCGTTCAGCTTCGGCTGGGTCATGAAATGGCTAACAGCTGTGTTGTCTGTCTTGACCACGAACGGGGTTCCCAGCAGATAGTGCCTCCAGAGGCGCAAGCAGTGGACGACAGCCAATAATTCTTTCTCATGGGCGGCATAGCGCCGCTCTGCATCCTTCAGCTTCCGACTCTCGTACGCTACAGGGTGCCCTTCTTGTAGCAGGACTCCGCCGAGTGCATAGTCAGAAGCATCTGTTTGTACCTCGAACGGCTTGGCCAAATCAGGAAGGGCCAAGACGGGACTACTAGACATAGCCGCTTTTAATGCGTTGAAGGCCTCTGCTCTCCTTGGTCCCCAATCCCAAGGTGTGACCTTTTTGAGGAGTTCTGTCAATGGCACTGCGATAAGTGAGTAGTTCTTCACAAACCGCCGGTAGAAGTTGCATAGGCCAAGGAACGCCCTCAAGGCGTGGACATCCTTAGGTGTCGGCCAATCTGTGATGGCCTGGATTTTCTGTTGGTCCATCTTGATGCGTCCTTCCTCGATGACATGTCCGAGGAAATCAATTTGCTTCTGAGCAAAGGAGCACTTGGATAACTTTGCATATAGTTCATGTTCCCGCAACCGAGCTAGGACCTTCCGCAAGTGTACTAGGTGTTCTTCCAATGTCTGGCTATATACCACAATGTCATCTAAGTAGACCACCACAAATTCGTCGATGTACTCTCGGAAGACTTGGTTCATGAGAGTGCAAAACGTAGCAGGGGCGTTGGTCAAGCCGAATGGCATGACCAGGAAGTCGTACGACCCATATCTTGTCACACAAGTCGTCTTGTGTTCATCACCCTCTGCAATCCGAACTTGCCAATAACCTGTCTTCAGATCTATCTTGGTGAACACCGTAGCACCACCCAGTCTATCAAACAAGTCCGCCATTAGGGGAATAGGGTACTTGTTCTTCACGGTGATTTTGTTTAGAGCTCGATAATCCACACAGAGTCGCAGGCTGCCATCATGTTTCTTTTGGAATAGAACAGGGGACCCATATGGGGACTTGGAGGGTACAATGATCCCTGTATCAAGCATTTCCGTCAATTGTCTCCGAAGCTCGGTGAGTTCGGGTTGTGACATTCTGTAAGGCGCCCGGGCAGGTGGCTTCGCGCCCGGCACCAACTCAATTTCATGGTCCACAGTGCGCCTAGGCGGGAGCCGCTTTGGCATGTCTTGTGGCATGACATCTTCAAACTCCAGTAGTAACTCCTTCACGGGTTCAGGAATGGGACCCGAGGAGCGTTCTATATCTTCAATGCAGAGGGTTGCCAGGAACGTAGGTTCATTCCTTTTGACCCCCTTCTTCAACTGCAAGGCCGAGATGTTCTCAACGGCCATCTTCATGGGCAGGCACGGGATAATGCAGGGCTTGGCCCTATTGGTACCCATCATCAGTAGCATGTCTGCAAATGGTACAGGCATGGTGTTGGTTTGCCTTAGGAATTCCAGCCCAACAATCAACTCGAAGTCATCTATGATCACCACTCGCAGGTTGAATTTTCCTTCGTAAGGCCCAAGCTTCACCGGTACTTCTTTAGCTATTCCACCCACTGGCTGGGGAGGTGAGTTGATAGCCTTGACGCTACCTTTACCTTTCCCTACAACTAGTCCAAGGCGCTCCACCTGAGTCGAGGCTAAGTAGTTGTGGGTAGCACCCGTGTCTATCATAGCCCGAATGGGCTTGCCATTCACCTTCA